GTGGGTTGGGAAGCGGAAGACAGGAATGGAAGACATCGTTTTAACTTGTGTTCTCCCTCCCTTCCAAGCTTGCTCCCCCAGCTCCCCTCTGATCCATGGCGCACTGGCGGTGTCCTGTGTCCTGGCCCCTCGGCCTCTCGTAAAGGAAGACGGCCTCATTTACTATGGTGTCCTCTTACTCATTTAAAAAAGGTCAGTTATGCTTGGGGTCTGGGGAAATGCATCATCTGTATCCCAAGTGTACATGGTCTTCTCATTGCTTCTCTCGTCCCCCCAGCTTTCTAGCTTACATTCCACCCAAACACACATTTCCTAGAGACCTCCTCTGCGTCAGACACTACAAAGCAGTTGTACCCCCATGCACTGATGAAGAGCGCCCACGTTCCTCCACACAAGAATCTCCTCCCTAGTGCATTTAAAGTGTGTGTGTGTTAGGAGTCCTGCTGGTGCCTTTTTTGCGTAAGGTGGGGAAAGCGTTGGACTGCTCAGTGCAAGGTCAGTCTTAGCTATTTGCTGGAGCAAGTTGAGGCTGGCTGCTTCAGTACAAAGTTATAGACTTGGACACCATAGATTGGGTCATTATGAGCTGGAATCAACTTGATGGCAGCGAGCGGTTTGGTTTGGGGGTGTGTTTTAACAATTTCATGACACTCACAAAGAGAACTTCAGAGTGTGTTTCTAGTTTCATTTAACAACCACCACTAACGCTCATGTGCTTTTAAAATGCCTAACTCAGTATACAGGAAAGATTTTTATAGGTTTGCTGAATCAATGCCTAAGTGTGTGTGTGGGGGGGAAGCTAGAGGAGCCTCCTCCTTGAGCACTGACTCTGTGCCAGGGGATTCAAACACATCAACTTAGAGGCAGCTTTTGGTCTCTGAGACTCTGGAACCCACATCCTACTGCTGTTCTGAGAGGACCAGGTGACCTAAATTCTCTGCATCCCCAAGGCCACCATGTGGATCATGTCTATTACCTCCCTTGCTGGGGCCTCTAAGAGAACCTTGCCTGCTGGGGTTTCAGGCTGCTAGGACAGCAAAAAAAAAAAAAAAAAATCCAGAACCTTGGCCCAGTGCCACTGAGTAAGTGCTTTTCAGTGTGTGAATCTAATGCATTTAAGTGTGCTCCACCCCAGCCCCCCAAGTTCAAGTTCTTAAAGGACCAGAGCAATTTGGCGAAGTTTTCTCCAAGCACTGTCAGTCTTCAAAGCAGGCTTGGGAACCGGGCAGAAAGAGCAGCTGACACATTGTAATGAGCCAGAGGCTCTAACATAAAAGACTAGACCTATTTGAACTTAGATACAACTCGATCCATTTGTCTCTATCCCACAGCATCTTGAGGCGTTTAAAACTCATCTAAGTGCCCTAAAGAGTTATATTTTAACCAGTCTGAAGATAAGAGCCATAATATTACTTACGAACTCACAAACTCTAAACAGAGAAACCAAAGGAAATAATATCAGAATGAGCTTCAGCAGGGCCTCTCGGAGAATTCATTTCCTGATTCTCCTCAGAGATTTCATTTCAATTTAATGTAACATAGAGGGATTACAAACATCCGACGAACAGACAACAGCTATTTGCTGCTTAATGCTCTGTAAACTTGCCTCCACTTGGCAAGGTTTACATTAACCTCTGTTTGTCATAAGTGCTGCATCACAATCACCCTCCCGTGCTGCACAGGCAATTCCAAACCATTGCCAAGGCTTGGAACCTCTTCTTGTACACCTACAGCCCCACCCGGTCCAGCCCCAACCAAACCACCGGGTAAGACACAACATAGCAACCACAATACATATGTAACTGATCAAGGACTCACCAGGGTGGGGGAGAGAAGGGAAAAAGGAGGTGCTGATACTACGCGCTCAAGTAGAACGGAAATGTTGATGGCAACATACATGCAAGTGTGCTTAATACAATTGAATGATGGATTGTTATAAGATTTGTAAGAGCCCTCCCATAAAATGGTTAATAATAAATAAATAGATCAGGAATGACAATCTACTTGTCTCAAAGGATTGGAAGTGAAAATGAAATTTAACCCATTTATCTCTTGAAAAAAACAAACGAACAACCCCCCTCCCCCACTGTCATCATGTTGGTTCTTAGAGTGATGCTATGGGCTAGAGCAGAACTCGAGGGTTCTGTGACTGTAAACCTCTTTGGGAGCAGACAACCTCACGATCCTCCTGGGGTAAAGGTATTGGAGCTTAAACGCTAAGCAGCAGGTTTGTAGATGGCTAGCAGTTACAGTGAACTGAGAACGACCAGTCCCTTCTGGAAAAGGACCTCATGCTTGGTAAAGTAAGTCAGCAAAAAAAAAAAAAAGAAATAGAAGACCCTCGAGGAGATGGATTAACATCACAGCTGCAACAATGGCCTCACACATAACAACTGTGAGCATGGCATGGGGCAGGGCACTGTCTCACTCTGTGCTACATATGGTCGGGTCGCTATGAGTTGGAAGTGACTTGATGGCCCTAACAAGAAGATGGTTTACAACAGGCACTGTCCCTGCGCACTGGGAAAACATGGGGACATGGAGAGTGGACAAAGCATCAGGGCCTATGGAGGGCGATTTCTCAGGCACGGTCGGATTCTACCACCACCGGGAGGAGTGCTGGGTAAAAGGCTTGGAACAGGGTCCACTTTGGTTTACTTTATAAATCACGTGTGGAAAAGGCCTGGGTAAGCCTTGATTGGTGAACATGGAAATGGCAGAAGGAGAGAGAGAGAGCACGGACCTCTCGGGGACACCCAGCATCAGCACTCGGCTGCTAACCCAAAGGATCCCACCAGCTTGCAGGGAGATGTGGTGCTGTTTCTGTAAAGATGGACAGCCTTGGAAAACTCGATGACACAGCAGTCCTACTGCATCTTACGGGGTTACTAGGAGTAAGAATGGACTATAGGGAACACAACAACAACAACAGGAAGTGCAGAAGTTGGTACGCGGTTTTGGTGGAGTGAAATTAACAGCCTGGTTTAGCCACCACTGAGCCTCTGCTCTTAGAAGATGGAGACAGGTTTCAGGCTTTCCTGTTCCCGGAGATGGGGTTGGTTGGCCATCCTATTGTGTGGAGAGAGGTATTCTGTGAGGTTATCTGCCTTAAGTTCTACCCTGAGTTGGCCTTTGAAATGTGGTTAAGAACATGGTCTTGGGAGCCTGGGTTCAAATCCTGTCCTTG